AAAACAGGCTACTTTTAGAGGGGAAGACACGATCAGTGTCCCACAGATTGATATCTGAAAATCAAAACATCCTGAGTGCTAGCTGAATAGATGAACCTTTTCCCACCTCCACCAAACTATGGCAGCATAAAGGTATTATGACAATTAGTTCCCCTCATGGCATTACTTTGAGCCTCGGCAATCTGGGAAGCAGGCTTAAGTCATCCTTTGCTGTTTTGGAGTAAGAGTAGCATTTTCTCAGGATGCTGGCTTAGAATCCTAGAGCAGCTTCAATGTGCTTTAAATCTGGTAGGAAGGAAAATCAGGGAACTACAGTGATCCTCAAAAGAGGGATTGATGATAGGAGTGATACATTCTATACCAGGAGTGTGAAACTCAAGGCTTGCAGGCCGGATCCGGCCCACAGGGTGCTTAGATCTGGCTTACAAGGCCACCTTGGAAACAGCTGTTTTCACTGGCAGAGGGTTGCAGGAGGCTGTCGCAGCCAAAAATGGAGCTCGAGAACCCGCTTTTGCTGGCAGAGTGCTCGGACCACCACAGGCACCCCTGACACAAGTGACATCGACATGGCCACATCCCTGGCCCCGCCGAGGTCAAGCACAACCCTGATGCGGCCCTCAGTGAAATCATGTTTGACACCCTTGTTCTATACCTATATAATTTTCCATTGACTTAAGGATGGAGTGGATAGTGGTATAAAATTAATCTATTCTTTTTGTAGTCCTCAACCACAATTGAGACCCAAATTTCTGCTGCTAAACGAGACAATTTTGTCCCATTTTATGACCTTTCTTGCCACAGTTGTTAAGTGAATCACTGTAGTTGTTAAGTCAGTAACACGATTAAGTGAATCTGGGTTCCCCACCGACTTCGCTTGTCGGAAGATCACCAGAGGTGATCACAAGACCCTGGGACGCTGCAATCGTCATAAATATGAGTCGCCAAGCATCTCATATTGCCAAGCATCTGAATTTTGATCACGTGACCATGGGGATGCTGCAATGGTCGTAAGTGTGAAAAATGGTCATAAGTCACTTTTTTCAGCATCATTGTAACTTCGGTCAGTAAATGAACGGTTGTAAACCGAGGATTACCGGTATGTTGCCTCTTTATAAGTTTATGTCATGCTCATGTTCAAAATAGATGCGCATATTCGGTAAATACTTGCATTCGGAATACACAATTCATTGGATTCACCCTCCATTTGATTGAGAGGATTCTGTAATGCTGGCAATGATATTAGTGGGGCAACAAAGTCTATTCTTTAACTCCTTGGGAAGAGTGGGCTATCTATACTTTCCTTGTTGTTTTTCATTCCTAAATGATGGCTGTGACGGAATGCTCGGTACGGAGAATGCTCTTGAACAGAAGTGATGCACACCTTTTATTATTATTATTCATGCAAGACACTCCAGGTTGTTTTCATACTGCTAAATAGTTGTTTAGTCAACATGAACTGCAGAAAAATTCTGACTAAAGTGAGAAGGAAGCAAATCTGTTATTGGCTGGAGGAATACTGTTCCTAGACTCTGAGGGCTAACTAACCAGAAGAGAATATTGTAGGGCAGTGATGGCTAACCTTTTCCAGACCGAGTGCCGAAAGCGTGAGCGTGTGCACGTGAATACATGTGTGTGCGCCCGAACCCCCAAAATGCAATGCGTGCACGGCCCCCTGCACGCCCTTTCTCATGCATGAATGGCCCTGTGCATGCACGGCAGAGACCCAAAGACGAGCTGCCGGCAGGAGGCACGCACGCATGTGCAGTGGAGCTGAACTGGGGCAGCGGCTCGTGTGCCATCAGAGAGGGCACTGTGTGCCACTTCTGGCACGCGTGTCATAGGTTCGCAATCATGGCTGTAGGCGAATCGAGTTCATTTTGGCTCCGGAGCTACAGGAGGTAGCTAAATTCATACATGTGGAAAAGTCCAAATGTGTCTGCTTTTGATTCGTAGCTTGCTAAAGCATGGACTGGCATGCAAATGAACTAAGCTTTGCCTTGGATCTCCTAATGAACGTGCTGAATTTCAGTGATGATACTCCAAATTAACTGATTTTTATTATTAACAAAGAATAGAAACAAAAGCTTCTAATCTTTGCAGCCATAAGAGAGAAGGCATATGTAAGCCTAAGCCTGTTTTTTCTATGATAAGCCAGTTTATTGCTATAGTCAAATGCATCTATAAGACTAGTTAGAACATTAAAAAGTAAATCAGATTAATTTTTAAATGTTTAAATGCATATATATATTCATGAAATCACACCTAAGTCTGCCTTCCCAACATAAGAGTGGTGCCGATTGTAGAATATGGAGAGGTACGTATAGGATGTGTCTGCAATAAAGATAAGATATTTAAGTGCACATATAATAATAATACAAATAATTATACCAGTTTTCTGTCTTCCTTTTGTTTCCTATTTTCCTTTCCTTTTTCCTTTTACCCATTATTCATAGCCAGTTTTGTGTGGTGATTAAAGTGCTGGCTTAGTAACCAGGTGACTGTGAGTTCTAGTTCGGTCTTAGGCCTGAAAACCAACTTGGGTGACCTTGGGTTAGACCAGGCGTCAGCAACCTGCAGCTCTGGAGCCACATGTGGCTCTTTTACCCCTCTGCTGGGGCTCCCTGTCACTCAAAATACGTGTCGCAACCGCCAATGTGTGACACCTGCTGGCACGCGATTTATTGAGCTTTTCAACTTCCAGTAGGCCAACCATGGATAAATCCGAGAAAAGAAAAGTTTCAGAAGAAAACAGAACATTTAATTCAACTACCTATGCTAGTTTTGTGGCCACTCAAGAAATAGTCAGGCACAGGAAGGGTTTTGTGGCTCCCAGTGTTTTCTTTTCTGTGGGAAACGGGTCCAAATGGCTCTTTGAGTGTTTAAGGGTGCAGACTCCTGAGTTAGACACTCCAGAATGAGACAACTCTCCACAGCCAACTTGCTGCGACCAACTTCCCATGGGACAACTCGCTGCAGGACAATTTAACAATTCAATTTACCTATTTAAAATAAATAAACGATTATCTTAATTTTTGTCATTCACATTTCATTCTGTCCCTCCTTTTGTATCCTTTCTTTAATGATTCTATTCCATTTTTTAAAATATTAGTGTAACTCTTGTCCTGCAGAGAGTTGTTCCATGGCAAAACACCTCTCGCAGGGTTGTTTTTTGTCAGGAATATGAGGAGGAGGAAAGAGTATTAAATATGTTTGCTGCCTTGAGTTGTTTATAAAAAGAATACAGGGAATCCTCGACTTATGAGTTGAGCTGAAAATTTCTGCTGCTAAGGCCAAGGTCCATAACTGGAAGTTGAGCATATGCTGCAAGGGGCGCCCATAAAATGGATGTCATGGGAAAAGGAATCTGCGTAGCTAAGAAATTCTAGCAACAAAAACTCTAGATCAGGGGTGTCAAACTCAAGGCCCACAGGCTGAATCTGGCCCACGGGGTGCTTAGATCTGACCCATGGGGCTGACCTGGATACAGTGAAGGACTGGCCCGCATGGCCCTCCTGAGCAATGTTTTCGATGGCAGAGGATTGCAGGAGGCCGTCGCAGATGAAAATGGAGCTCAGGAGCCCATTTTTGCTGGCAGAGTGCTCAGGCCACCACAGGCGTCCCCAACACGAGTGACATCAAGCTGGCCACGCCCATCCTATCCCCCCCGAGGTCAAACACAACCCTGATGCGGCCCTCAGTAAAATCGACTTTGACGCCCCTGCTCTAGATGGAAAAGTGCAGGTTTTGTATGTGGATTCAAAATTCAATCCTCAGGATCCCCATGAAAATACCTGCCTGAAAGCTTGTGGCACTCAGCATTGAAAAGATTGGCAAGATGGACCAATAATCTAGATTCCGTAAAGGTAGCATGTTGTGTTCCTATATACCGGAGCAAGGCAAGATGACATAGGAACATATTGCACTGTCTCTAAACTCATGCAAGCAGGGATGTATGTAACTCTGAAGACATGCAGTAGATCAGCTCTTCCTCCTTTCTTTTAATTCAACTGGGTGGCAAAGAACCAAATCGTACAGAAGAAAACATTACCAACTTGTCTTTGTGACAGAACATTGAGTAGGTATAAAATCGCAATGGTCTCTATGCCAGGTTTTTGGTTTTTTTTTTTTTTGTTTTTTTTAAATCTTCCCTGCTTCTAAGATAAAAGCTTAATTTGATATTTTTGTAGTTATATAACAGTAATATTTTGTGACATTTTGTATTGTGACACTATAGATGAAATTGTCATCGGACTGACACCCTTTACTGTTTATTACTTAATTAGAACTGTTAACAACACTGCAGAGAAGCGTGCTAATCTGCCATCACATATTATGAAAACAACGTTATTGTTACAAACACCAACACCCACTCAACAGGATAGTTCTAAGATGGCAGTTTCTGTTAAAAAAAAAGAGAGAGAGAGAGAGAGAGAAAGAGAAAGAGAGAAAACCTGATTTGTTTAATGGACACTTTAGCAGCGAAGAAAAAGAAGTTGATAGCAACTTCTAGCAATTATCTTTCGAAATGAAAATATTTGGTGTAGAATCAGTTTAATGGGGATTTTTTGGTTAACACGTTTTGGAATTGAAATTCACATAGTTGGGAAACAGTAACCACCATAAATGTTGAGCCCTTGAAATTTCTGAAGGTTAAATTTGTCCTCCTCTAAGGCTTTTGAAGAAAAGTGGCAATAGTCCACTGGCTCCCTCTGCTGGTTATTAACATGTTACTTGCCTGTCTAGACAAATTTACTCCTATCTTGCCCCCACAGCTCTCTCTTCAAGGGAACTGTATCTGCTTGTTACTATCTCATGCTTAGCGGCTCATATGCCTCCTTTTGTCTTTCTTAGACAAAGGAAAATTCCCACTTGACCAAAATACAACGACCAAATCAAACATATTGATTAGAAACAAAGTCATCCATGTTATGGTAAAGTATTAAATACTCCAGTAAACGCTTACCTTATCTCTGAATTAATATACCCTTAACACAATAAAATAGATGTTCAAAGGTATTTATTTCTTGGAAATCTTCTCAAAGTCTGGTATTTGGCTCCAATTATAGTGACTGGTGATGTGATGCTCACGTTACTACTAATGATAAAAGCATAGGAATTACCGATTATGTGCCAGCAAGTCATTTGCAACTCTTAGCAGCAACACAAGATTTTCTCCACGATCTGTCTTTGACGTGGTCTTTTAGGTGTTCCAACAATGTAGTCACCACCACTGCAATTGAGTCCAACCATTTTGCTCCTGGTTGTTGTCTTCTTCTCTTCACTTCCTCCATTTCTAGCATGAGAGCCTTCTCCAAAGAGATAGATTGTTGCATAATAGGCCCAAATTAGAATAGTATGAACCTGGTAATGTGTGCCTCAAGCGAGAACTCTGGATTGCTTTGTTTGCTGATCCATTGGTTTATTTTCTTGACTGTCTATGGTATTCTCCGGAGTCTTCTTCAAAACCAAAGTTTCAAAGTGTCAATGCGCTGCTTAATTACTCAGTTTTGTTATTGGTAGTGTTTACTGGTACAGATGAAGGTCCTAATCCTAAATAAAAAGGAATCTTATATTTCCCTTAAATTTTAGCTCTAAGGCCCTCCATGCTTCCTACCTACCAGGTATCATTTTTAAGATGCTCACCTGACAACCAGAAATCTGTGTCCCTAACATCACAATTCAGAAAGAATAAATACATAGTAACTCGTTAAGTATATTCCCTTGCTTTTAGCTATAGAAAATGTATAAAATGAAGGGCTTGTGCAAGTAATTTCAAGATAAAGGTAAAGGTTCCCCTCGCACATATGTGCTAGTTGTTCCCAACTCTAGGGGGCGGTGCTCATCTCCGTTTCAAAGCTGAAGAGCCAGAGCTGTCCAAAGACGTCTCCGTGGTCATGTGGCCGGCATGACTAAACACCAAAGGTGCACAGAACACTGTTACCTTCTCATCAAAGGTGGTCCTTATTTTTCTACTTGCATTTTTTATGTGCTTTCGAACTGGTAGGTTGGCAGAAGCTGGGACAAGTAACAAGAGCTCACCCCGTTACGTGGCACTACGGAGTCAAACCGCTGAACTGCCAATGTTTTGATCGACAAGCTCAGTGTCTTAGCCACTGAGCCACCGCGTCCCTTGTATTTCAAGATACATTTGCTCTAAATATTTATTTTAACAAAATAACTCCACAATCTGATATTAGAGCATGTTGTTGAATGATTAACAATTAATTCCAAACCCAAAGTTGGATAAGTCTAACAAGCCTACAAAATCAAATTGTAAGCTTGATTCAACCTGAAATATTCTAAGAGAGCACTCTAATATTTGGTCATAGAATTTGTATTTCCATCCAAATCTGACACAGAATAACCTAGAGCAGGACTGTCAAACTAGTGGCCCGTGGGACGGATGCGTCACGCACTGGCCACGCCCATGCCCGGTTTAGCGAAGGGGAAGAAAGTCCCAAAACATCATGTGATGATGCCGTGACGATGCGAGTTTGACACCACTGACCTAGAGGATGTGCAAATTCAATGGGTCCTATTTGAGTCTTCATCATCCAATTTTCTACTGAGTCCTTAAGTCTATGCTACATATCGATGATCTATACATGTCATTAAGAAAATCCTTTTATGGGACAATAAGGCAAGTTAGTACTTTCTATAATTTTATTGGGAAAAAGGCATCTCTCCCTAGCAAAAGTGAAGGACAAGTAACAGATTATATTATTTCTCATCTTAACTGAGTAACTGAACAGTGGAGTGTACATCCTGCACTGTGTTGTTCATATTTGAGATCAAAGTCACTTCCATGTAGCTAACAGGCCTTTAGGGAAGAACTCTTCAATGCAGATTTAGAATTGAGTATCTTACCCAACAAATATTTAAAAGAATTATTTAACAATCCACCAATCTGAAGCTTGAATAAATTCCCCCATGGACATGGTTCCATTTTTGTTTCCTATTTATCTTGGTACTGATCTTATGTGCTGAATTGTTGATGTGATTTTTTTTTAAAACCAATTGGGGCTTGTGTTCTTCCTAAAAAAAATGGCTCCCACTTAGGGATGGATTCTTCTACTTTGGCCCAGTAAAGAGTCTAGGAAAAAAAAATACAACACGACATGCAATTTAACTGCTTCACAATATAACCTATTATTTACCAGCACAACAGCAAAAGGATCTGAACATATGAAACATTTTTACAGTTTGCTTTATGTTTGAAGTAATTGAGAAAAGGCCAAACTACTTATTGCTAAATCTTAAATCCCTCAATTATACAGTATAATGGAGATTGGAAGGAACTCACTACCTAGAGTAAATATGCGATAATTGGATGTGCCCTCTTGTGGTGAATAATGTATTCGAAAGGTAATCCTTCAATTTCATAATTGTTTCTTTGAGACAGATAGCTTTTTTTTCTGAACCATGAGGACTGTCCATAAGGACAGTCATGAATGCTATTGGTTTAAAGAAAGTTTATGTTCTTTAAATCTACAATGTCAAGGGAATAGTACAAATTCAGAAATCTGTTCAAGGTTCCATGAGATTTGCTGGCATGAAAAACTGATATTCTGCGATCCATTGTTAAAATGTAGATCTTGACATTAAAGAATAGGTCCCCTTGTCCACTAACTTTAGACTTGCCCTAATAGCCCCTGAATTAAGTTATTATTACCTTTTTACCTCACTTTTTTTCTTCTTTCATTTTCAGAGGGCAATAAAATAATCTCAATTATATATAAATCTCAAAACCAGAGCATTGGTGCTGGTGGAAGAGATCTTGCTTGATTCATATTTCTGCTTAAAAATTATTTATGGAAGTAGCCCAAACAAATATTAATTTGCCACCCAACAAACAATAGCCTAATATTTTAAACTAATAAATATTTTTTCCTTGAAGAATTACCTAAACCATCAGTCTCATCCTTCCTCTGTCTCAATAACTCATTTTTTTAAATGAGTTGCATTCCCATTTCTAAACTGTCTCCATTTGTCAATCATTCTTATTCCATTTTCTTCCTGTCCATCATTGTTGTTCTCATACGTCTTGTGCAAAACCTATCCAATGTTTGCCGCTGTGAAAATGCTGATTCATCCTCAAATATTGTCTTTAGCTTTTGAAGTATTTAGAGCTGGGGGTGGGGGGGGAATGATGTCCCTCTTCTTTCTATACAGAATTTCAGAGGAAACATGGAACTGATCTGTCTCTTTTTATTTATTTTTTATTTGGCAGATTTTTTAAATCTCACCTTTATTATTTTTATATATAATGCAAGGCAGAAAACATATCTAATACTCTGTCATGAAAATGACCTGGAACAAGCACTGACAGAGATGGAGAGGCCGGCTCCATTGGCCTTGGAGGAAACTGGGAAGGGCAGAGTCAGTCCAGGCAAGGCTTTTCTGAATTAGTAAGGCCTGCAGACAGGGAGAGCTCAGGAGAAGAGCAAGGACTACCCCCTCCTGATCTGAGAGCAAGGAGGGAAGAGAGACGGCGAGATCAACGCAGATTGAGCTGGCTACGAGGGAGGAGAGTGCCCCGCCCCCTTTCACAAGGCACACCTGGGGATTGAGATATAAGGAGGTGCCGGTGGGAGGGGCATTTGTCTGGAACAAGCGTTGAATCTGTGGAGCCTTGTGTGCACTTGCCAAAGCCTGAAGACTGCTGTATTCTGTCTTGTGGGGCTTGCCAGTTTGCCTGCTTCGCTGAACTTCTTGCTCTGGTTATTGTTTAGGTAACATGGCTTATTGGACTGCTGGCCCTGGTTAATGTTTGGGCTAACCTGGCTTATTGGTTGCCGGTGGTCTTTTGGATCCACTTCAAGGTGCTGGTACTTACCTATAAAGCCTTACATGGCATGGGCCCAGGGTACTTGCAGGATCACCTCCTACCGGCCTCCCACCGCCCAGTGCGTTCACATAGGGCTGCCCTCCTCCGGGTGCCATCGGCCAGACAATGTCGGCTGGTGGCGCCCAGGATGAGGGCGTTCTCTGTGGCCGCACCGACCCTCTGGAATGAATTACCCACTGAGCTCTGGACGGCCCCCGACCTCCACTCTTTCCGCGGTGGCCTGAAGACGTGGCTTTTTCAGCAAATCTCCTGATCTGCTGGGAGTTTTTTAGTTTTAACTGTTGGGGATTTTAATTGCATTATTTTAGCATTAAATTATTGTTTTGTTGTTTTATTGTTGTGAGCCGCCCTGAGTCCTTCGGGAGAAGGGCGGCATATAAATATGAATAAGATAAAAAATAAAAAAAATAAATTGGATTGCTGGCCCTGGTTGCTGTTTGGTTAATCTGGTTTACTGGACTACTTGCAACCAGATCAGTGGTGAAATCCAATTTTTTTTACTACTGGTTCTATGGGCGTGGCTTGGTGGGCATGGTGTGGCTTGGTGGACGTGGCAGGGGAAGGATACTACAAAATCTCCATTCCCACCCCACTCTTTGACCAGCCAGAGGTGGTATTTGCCGGTTCTCTGAACTACTCAAAATTTCTGCTACCGGTTCTCCAGAACCTGTCAGAACCTGCTCGATTTCACCCCTGAACCAGGGGCTTCTGAAGGTGCATGTGAGAGTTTTGCTCCAGGACTTGTATTGAATGTGGGAATGTTTGGGGACACAGCTGGAGCAATAAAGGGGAGTTAGACCTGTTCTCTGGTTGTGTTGCTTTCGTGCCACACCCCGGGTCATCACATACTCCTTCCTCCTCCTATTTTCCCCACAACAGTAACCCCATGAAGTGGGTGGGGTTGAGAGAAAGTGACTGGCCCGGAGTCACCAAGCTGGCTTTCATGCCCAAGATGGGACTAGAATTCACATTTTCTTGGTTTCTAGGCCAGCACTTTAGACCAAACTGGCTCTGCTTATATTATAGAAGTTTAAGATATTTCTGAAGTGCAATGTGGTATGATTGAGTTTTAGCACTGTTTCTAAACTTGGAAATGTGGGAGAGGGCAAAGAATTGTACCACTTACATATTATGCTTTGGGAGTCAATTTTGAGGACATTCAAAATGTAACAATGCAACTGAGAGGCCAAAGCTGAAACAAATACTATGGCCATTTTCCTACAGTACTGGTAATCCTCGAGTTATGACCACAATTCATTTATATTGCTAAGTGAAACATTTGCTAAGTGAGTTTGCCCCATTTTACGACTTTTCTTGCTCCAGTTGTTAAGTGAGTCATTGCATTTGTTAAGTTAGTAACATGGCTGTTAAGTGAATTTGGCTTCCCCATTGACTTTGCTCATCAGAAGGTCGCAAAAGCGACACTTCCCAGGACACTGCAACCGTCATAAATATGAGGCAGTTGACAAGAGTCTGCATTTTGATGATGTGACCATGGGGATGCTGCAACAGTCGTAAGTTTGAAAAACGGTCCTAAGTCACTTTTTTCAGTGCCGTTGTAACCTTGAATGGTCACTGAATGAACTGTTGTAAGTCGAGGACTTCCTGTACAAGTTTTTTTTTTAAAGAATGGCTTTTATTTATCTTGATGAAAACAATCCCAATATAGTAGTCCTTCACTTATAACCATTCATTTAGCGACCATTTGAAGGTACAGTGGCCCTGAAAAAAGTGACTTACAACTGGTCCTCACCCTTATGACTGTCACAGCATCCCCATGGTCAGGTGGTCAAAACTGAGGCACTTGGCAACTGGCATGAAGTTACGATGGCAGTGTCCTGGGGTCAAATGATCACCATTTGTGCTCTTGCCAGCCAGCTTCTGACAAGCAAAGTCAATGGGGGACACCAGATTCTATCGATGACCCTATGATTCACTTAACAGCTGCAGTGATCTGCTTAACAACCATGGCAAAAAAAGGCTGTAAAAATCAAGTGCGATTCGCTTAATCATCGCCTTGCTTAGCAATTCTGATTCCAACTGTGGTCATATGATGAAGTTTACCTGTATATAAAATGAGGGGATGGAAAAACCTTGGAAAGCTTTCAGTTCTCACAATGAAATGAACATTGCACTGAAATGGCAGCAACTGATATTGAACTGAAATTAGGAGACAGCCTTTATTTTGATAAAAGGGGCCTTGAGAGTATACTGAAGATACAATCATCATTGCATTTCTAAAAAAAAAGACTAATTTCATTTAGCAGCAAGATGAAGAAAAGAACTTGAGATACCAGCATTCAAGACAATAAGTACTTGAGAAATTGTTTTGGACTTACTTCAAGGTTAACAATTTCAGGGTGGAGAAGCAGGTGCTCTCTGGATTGTAGATTTTTCGCTGCTGCCTCAATATCCTGCAACATACAGAGAATCTTTTGAAAAGACGGACGCTTCCAGAAATGACATCCCCACTTCATTTTCCTTTTTAGTAACTATGAAAATAGAAGTAATATTCTAGCCATACAAGTTGTAATTAATATAAGTCATACCAGCAAATATAGACAAAAAGAGACAGATCTAGGTTTCTAAGTTGCTTACAATCTAAAGAGAGAAAGAAAAGGGGGGAAATCCTGCCCCCGTTCATCAGTATGGCATTTATTAGGTCAGTTTCCAGTACGTTTCTAAGCCTTTAAACCCACATAAGATTTAGGACTAGTATATTTATTACTGGTAAATATATTAATTTGTGAAGCATAGTGGGTGTAGCTAAAGCTTCAGCTAAACTGCCCACCAGGTTTTCAGGGGAAACTCTAAACTCCCCCTGTAACCCAAGAGGGTCAGAGGTTGCCAGCAGTGGGCCAATCTAATGGACCCAATCTTTAGCAGGAGGGTTGCACTAGTGAGCTGAAAGGGATGCTGGCTAGGGAATGCTGGCAGATGAAGTCTGATGGTAATGTCTTCTAAAACTAGATCACACACACGACACAAACAAGAACTAATCTGCAACCTCTGGCATATGCCAGGCCCTCAGTAACTTGGAACAGGTTAATGTTTGCTATGGAGGCTATAAACTCTTCATCTCAACAGCGTCATCATCGTCTTTTAACAAACCCATAATCCCTGGCGGGGTGGAGTCTGGGCAAGTAAATGGAGCTAGCAGTGTGTTTACTGGCCGGATGTCCTTCCTGTCGCCAATGCAGAGTTTTGTTCAGCAGATATATTCTCATTGTGCCCAGAGAGAGAAATATCTGCCTCTACCTAGGATCAAACTCACAGCCTCCTCTGATTGTGAGGCGAGAGCTCTACCTCTAGGCCACCGCACCACTCCAAACAGCATGTCAACAGCATGAAGGTGACAAATTAAAGTTCTCCAAGGCTAAGAGGCTCAGGGTCTTTATAGCCATACTGAAAATAAAATGCAGAAACTCAGGCAACGATGAAGCTGTGCAACATCAATGATAGCACACCAGTAGCAAGCTCAACTATTCCTTAAATGAATTAATAAATATAAATGTCAGCTGTCCCTACTTGGTCTGTTAGGAAAGAAAGACTCTCGAGTCCATAGTCAGAAAGTATACTTTACTAAAGCCAAGTGGTTACAGTGAAGCAAAGCCAGATCTAAAGTTTCACGCCCAAAGCTCTGGTTAACTTTTCCCTCTTCCCACTTTTTTTTGAGAAACAGCCCCTTGATTGGCGGGCAAATTGGTGGTCCATTCCATGGTATGATCTTGGAGCTGCTTACACCCAGGACAGTACAAAATTTAGTTTCAATTCCCCTTATGCTAGCCCCCTCCTTCTTATCCTATTCAGCAGCTCCCCCCCCCCCCCATTGCCTACGGCAGACTTGCAAAGCAAAGCAATTTTACAGCTTGGATGGAAGTCCTGACAATAATAAACAAAATAAGATATTCCAGGGTGCCTAATCTATTGGAATCAGCAGACCCACAGGAAATATTAAGAGCACATTATATATTTTCTTACAAAACACTTCTTATTTGGGCCATTACTCCCTGCAAAAGCAGCTGTAAGTCAGTCAACATTTATTTTAAACACAGGTTGTAACATAAGACACAAAGCACTTGGGTTGCCAATGAATTTCACTTTCTCTCTGTCTCTGTCTCTCTCTCACACACACACACAAAAGGACAGGGTTGCAGTCCCCTTTCATTTTCGCTTTCCAAAAAGTTGCTGAGATATATGTAGCAACAATTTTGGGGGGGGGGGGGAAATAACTATTAGGCTTGAGACTAGCCCTCTTAATTATTTCTTGAATTTACATGACACTAACCCCATAAATATGCACAAAAGCTTACAATAAAATTCAAACACCCACACTTTTAAAAAAAGAATCATTTTTTTAAAAAAAAGAATAAAAATTTGGCATTCCTATCTAATCCCTGTTTCAAGCTAGGTTTGCAGGCACTTTTACAATCTGAAACCAATTGCAATGTTTGTTGTCAAATTCTTTTCATCTTGCATCCTGTGTTTATGCCTTTGTTAAGAATTTATTTTGTTTTGAATTCTTCTATAGGATAATTAAGTAATGAAGCCTCCACAACTGAGGGAGCATATAAACCAATTAAATAAACCGCCTCGGAAGACTGGAAGTATAAATGCTAAGAAATAAAATATCAACAGGAAATAAATAAGAGCAAATTCAGCTATAATTATGTAATTTTGAACTCCCTGCAGTTTAATGCCACTTCAGAAACACATCATTAAGTGTACAAGTGGCAATTTTTTGCTCCAATTCAACAGTGGATTTGCTCATCTAACGAAGTTAAAACAAACTTTTAAAAAATAGGTTAAGAACTATTTTAAACTTCTACCAGGGATGAAATGCCACGGTTCGGACCGGATCGCCCAATCTGGTAGCGATGGCGGCGGGTGGTTTGGAGAACCGGTAGCAAAAATCCCTGCGCCCCCACCATGCCCAGGTGAGCCGCACGATCATCAGAGGGTTTTTTTTTTATTTTACTTTTCAACGCATTTTTTTCTGCAACCTCTTGGCCGAAGAGGTGGTAAAAAAATGCTTTGAAAAGTCTCTGACCATCCCAGCTGAGTTGCCTGATCGGCAGAGGCTTTTCAAAGCATTAGAAAAAATGCTTTGAAAAGTTTAAAAAAAAAAAAGTTGACCACGCCCACTCAGTCACATTACCCCCCCCAAGCCACACCCACAGAACCGGTAGTAACAAATTTTACATTTCATCCCTGACTTCTACTCATAGTTTTCATTAATCTCTTACTCGTGGGAAATCAAAATTTAGCAGTGTAGTCAAACAGTGTTCTGGTGGTAGGAAAAAGGGATTTTGGAGATTTCATACTGCTGATCTAAACCTCAAATAATGTAAAAAGTAATTTACATTTTTTTTACACAAAAAACCCCAAAAATGTAAAAACTCTGAAACATGTAAATTACATGTTTCAGAGTTCAGACCTATTCTGTCAACAAGAGGACAAGTATAGTTGGAAAAGCGCACAGAATCAGAAGAAAAAAAACCCAGAACATTTAATTATAAATGGTAACTTTATTGGATTTGATAGCTATGCTGATCTAATGAATGGGTGTTTTAACGATGGGGTGTCACCAGGAGAATGTCACAATAATTCCCAGAAGAAAATTCTCAAAGGAACTTCCTATAATTTCCAAACCATGGTGGTGCCAAAGAATACAATTATTGATACAGATTTTGAAAGTACCAAGCTAGAATGAGTATAACAAATAGAGTAACTGTTTGGAATACGGTTAGAAGGAAAAGCTACCCTAATGTAAAGACTGAGAAATGTGGAGCAAATTTACTGCAGGTGGAAATGAAAAAAACCATCACTGTCAGAGAGATTTTGAGCGTGTGTGTGGAAGGACAGGAGTGGGAGAAATACAAATAACGTCCTCCTTCCTATATACAGGTAGTCCTTGACCTATGACACCATTGGGATCAGGATTTCCATTGCTAAGCAAGCCAGTTGTTAAGCGACTCATGGCCAATTTTAAGACCTTTTTGCTAGGGCTGTTAAACAAATCACTGCAGTTGTTAAGTGAATCATGTGTTCATTAAGTGAATCCAGGTCCTGTTGTGGTCCGCCAGCAGCCTGCGGAGCTGGCAGTGGAGTTGGACAGTGAGGAGGCTGGGGAGGACCATGGGCCAGTCCTGGAGTCTGGGGAAGGCTTGACGAGGGCTCTGCGTCGGAGGCAGAGATGGAGCCAGGGCCATCTGGGAGTTATGCGCGGACTCTGGAGCCTCTAGAGTCGGACATCAAAGAGGCAGAGGAACAGGAGGAGCCTGTTCCTAGTGCACGCATGCACAGAGCTGCCAGAAGGCAAGTACAGTTAAAACAAAAGGAACGACTCGGGAGTAAGGCCTGGAGATGACTGGCCCCTCCCATAAGGCTTAAAAGAAGAGCAAAGCCCCGTGGGCCCTTTGCAGGAAAGCAACATTGTTAATTCTGTTCCCAGTCGCCATCTCTGTTTGATTCTGGACTCCGTGTGGCTTTGCCAAGTAGGTCTTTGGCAATGTGTCAAGGGAGGTAAAGGTTGGTGATTATCCCGAAGGACTTTTTGCAACTAATTGGGACTCAGCTGTGAATGAAAGTAATTGACAGCTGTTGCAATAAAGAGGTTTTTGGGACTACTCGTGTGTTTTAATGACTCAGGACGCCTAGGTCACAACAGCTCCTTCCATTGACTTGGCTTGTTGGAAGCTGGCTGGGAAGGTTGCAAATAGTGATAATATGACCACCAGGTGCAGCAACCATTGTAAATATATTTCCATTGCCCTTCTGAACCAGTAATTGTAGGGATACTGTGATAAATGATAAGTGCAAGGACAAGCCGTAAACCACTTTTTTCGATTCTGTTGTAACTTTGAACGCTAAGAGAATGGTTGTAAATCAAGGACTACTTATAATACCGTACAATCCAACTTACATTGGACTTAAGGTATCTCTTAATGCTGATACATAGCTAAATGTCTATGGAGATTCTCAGTCATCCAGGTCATGGTTGTCCCAAAGGTGCTTTTTTCAAGAGGCAACTGGACTTTCTGTTTTTTCTCTGAAAATGTTTCACGTCTCGTCCAAGAAGCTTCTTCAGCTCCTTCAGGCTTTCTCATCCTGGAAGCTGAAGAAGCTTCTTGGATGAGAAGCAAAATGTCTTCAAAGAAAAGCAAGAAAGTCCAGTTGCCTCTTGAAAAAAAGCACCTTTGGGACTTAAAAGGAGATGATTTGCAACACTATGCAGTCAGTTCCTGCAATACTATGTCAGTGATGTAGTTAAGGGTCAAACTCTAGAACAATGTTTCTCAACCTTGGCAACTTTAAGAAATCTGGATTTCAACCCTCAGAATTCCCCAATCAGTAGGCTGGCTAGGGAATTCTGGGAGACAAATTCCAGCCATCTTAAAGTGGCAGAGGTTGG